CAGTGTCATGCTAAAACATTATACTGTAAATTATTATTATCAGCATATGCTAATCCAAATATAACATACATGCACGTATGCAATTATTAGCGGAAAATTAAGTTATATAACTTCCTGACACCACAATCAGATATTGTCTAACTTTAAAGAAGCCCAGAACTTTATTTTAAGTATACGTAAATATACATAGAGTTCCGTAAGTAGAATGAAGTATTCAAAGGAGTGATAGTAGAACTCCAAGTTCAACAAAAAAGTTCATATGAACAATGGTCCGATTTTCTGTCGAAAATTTTATTTCTTTTATTTATTGTAAATAAAATATACATTTCTGTTTAATATAATACATTCTGGGTCATGGAAAAACAATTAATAATTTATTTTAGTCATTTGTGCAGAAAACAGGGTTACTTTAAGATGACACGATATCAAATCACATTATTTTTTTACACAACGTGAGATGAATCAAACTTATTTCGTAATAAATCCTAAATTTAATTAATATAGACTTAAAGCTTATTAAAAAAAAGTCTATCTATAAATGGAGTATCTGCAGTATAGTCGAAGCATGATAGAAAAAAAACTGGAATAATTCATGTTTTTTTTTTTTTAAACAGAACTTAGTTTTGCCGCTCAGGTGTTCTCTTCGAATGATTTTACCAATGACAAACTCCACTTTTTGAAGTATATTTTGTCGTCTAGTTAACTATACGATTAGCAATTGGTAATTACTTAAATTAAGTATTTATTAAGTCCTATATAATAAAAAAAAATTAATAAATACAAAAACCTACAAAACCACACAATATCAAGACAAAGTTAAGAAACAAACAAACTAGCCAAATTTATTAAACTTCAACCATGATGTTCAAAATTTCAAAAATAATTAACAGCATCATCTAATTATGTGCAATATGTTGCTATTTAAACTGTGTACAGGATAGGACCTAGAATACTAAAGTGAGGATCACAAGCAGACTGGAAAAAAAAGGGGTGGATAGGTATAGTTGTGATTTACTTTGAAGTATCTAAAGTAGATAATGAGGATGTATGTAGCTGGTAGGAATTTACGGAGTTTATAATCGGGTGACAGACTCTATTAAACGCATGTTCGAAGTCGAGAACATTCAGCGTTCCAATACAGAGGAGACCACACGATGACATTGCTGGATAGTATACAGGCGTTTTAAGATTAATTTTTCCAGGATTTTAGCCATGATGGATAAAAGAGAGATAGAAATGACAGGTGGTGAGAGGATTTGTGGTGGCTTTTAAGGTTTGTGTATCATTTAGACAATAGACACTTTCCAATGGTCAGGAAAATATGTAGATTGGAGTATACCATGATATATATATATAAGGAAGGTATAGAATGGCTTTATGAGGAAGCACTTTTAGGATATGGGAGTTTTGCGTGAAGAAAATCTGTGAATGATAGTGGATATTTCTGAAGGATGAAATGCATTAGGTAGAAGAGTTATTTGGAGTTGAATATCTACTTTTGTTTCAACACATTCAAGGTGATTAGGATTAAGGATATAAGGATGTAAATTAACAAGTATGTACAGAAATTTCATTGTGATAAATTTGTTGATAAAGCTATTTATGACTGCAAATTAGGTGCTAGTTTGGTCTTCAGAAACTCTAGATATGTTCTTGGAATACTAAATTACATTTATATAAAACTCTTATCAGACCCATGCTGACCTCTTTAGTGAGCGCTCTCTTTGGTGATGGTGATTGGAGGCAAAGTACTAATTCAGAATAGAAGACATTTTAAAAGAGGCCAACATTTTCATCTTCATTAAGAAAAGCAGACTGCGGAGAGTGGGACAGGTGGTGAGAATAACTGAGGATCAGATCTCGAGGATTGAGGAAGATGTCGGACGAATGGCTGGGCTGATGGCTGATGTCAGCAAAGGTGACGCTCGGCCCATCCTTGGTATCCGGAACTGACAAGAAGCGGCCCAGCAAATAGATTACGGGGGGTCATTCTTGCGAGGGGCCTTGCTATCTCGCAGAGTGTAGCCTTCGCTGGTCCAGGGCGTACGGCCCTTAAAGCATAAAATTCAATTCCAAGCAATGGAGATTCGTTATAACACACAAATTATAGGGAAATCAATACTGTTAGGAAAGCAAGACCAACTAGGCTCCGAGATCAGTTGAAGAAATTATTCATTGAAGGACATGTTCTTAGGAAGACCTACGTGGATCGAGTCAATAAGAAGTAATATTAACCAACCATTTGACAACTAGACATAAGATTATAAGTATACTAATTATGAATATGACCTACTTATACCAACAAGGGGAGGTTACGGACGTGGGGTCAAAGATTTCAATGAAACTTTTTTTGGTGATACTAGGTCGGAAAATATTAGACCCATGCCTGAGGGTTCTTGCCAATGCGCCCTAGGAGATAAAAAAATTTTTTTACAATGCCATTATTTTTTTATATTAATGTTTTTTGACTTTGCTTGCATGGATTTCTAGTTGATTTTTTACTTAAAATAAGAAAACGATATTGGCAATTGTGTTAAACGAAGTCTAATGTACAATAAATTACAAAAACCCAAAGACGTTTTTAGATTCCACTAAAACTCTTAATAAGAGGTTTTTTTTTTAAATAAAAAAATATAAATTTTCTGGGTGGATTTTTTTCATGCCGTTTACTAAAATATTCTTAACTCCTCAGGTTTTTCTTCTAAGTCAACGTTACTACTTTCATCAGAAAGCTAAATTATTGCTCTTCAAAACTATATCAATATCTTTGATATTCCATACATTTCAAAGGAATAAATAAATAAAAACTCCTCAAGCGTTTTTATTTTTTATCTCACAGTATAATTTATTTACGGATAATAAATGGTTGATGTCATTTCGTGTATATTATAAAGGCCTAAAGGCATGATAATTTTATTACAAATAAGTGGAGACATGTTGAAGTTATCAGAACTTTTGTGATTTTCGAAAAAAAATTTAAGGTTCGGCGGAAATTTTGAGAAATTATTTTTATTTCTCGATTGCTATGAAAATTCGTATTTAAGGTTTTTTCGAGGTGCTCAATACAAAGTTTTCTTCTTACAAAAATATTTGAACCCACTTTATGACTCCATAGGTCAGTACTAATTATTTTAATATTTTACTCATTATATAGCTGTATGCTAAATATATATATTTTTTTAAACCAGACGGCTATAGAAAGTAAGATTGAATTCACAGAATCTGTCATTTTGTTGAGATTCGATCCTAAAATAAGAATAAAGCATGTAGTGTACATATTATACTATGAAATATATTTTTCTGGGATAAAAAAGATGATTTCCATATTTCGCGCCTCTATGACCCTTAAATAAAACTTTATCGTTTCAATAAAAAAATGTAAATTATTTTCTCAATATTCTGTCTTCTATAAGTAGCTCTAATGAGGTCCACCTATGTTAATAGCTTTATAGTAGTTATTAATAAAGTAAAGTAAAATTCATTTGTTTTCGATTGCAATAATAAATTTCTCAATATTTAACAGTTGTAATATCTACTACAATGTGATACGGCTTGAAAAAAATCTACACAGAAAATTAAGTCCAAAAATTTATATTTTTTGATTTCCAAAAAACTCGTATTATGGGTTTTAGTGGACCCTAAAAACGAATCTGAATAATTTTTTCATGACAAAAACTTACTTGAAAGCGTCTTTGGGTTTTTGTAATTTATTACACATTAGACTTCGTTTAAGGCAATTACCAATATTGTTTTCTTATTCTACATAAAAAAACAAAAATAAATCGATTAATATAGAATAACTTAGAAATCCATGCAGAGCAAAATCAAAAAACATTAATATTAAAAAATAATAAAATTGTATAAAATGTATTTTTTTCTTGACCCTATTTGCAAGAACCCTCGGACATGGTTCTAATATTTTTCAACCTAGTATAACCAAAAAAAGTTTCATTGAAATCGGTGACCCCACGTCCGTTACCTCATCTTGTTTGAAGAACACTTAGGTGGAAAGTTAATTTACATCGTATTAGTAATTTGATGGCATTCCGAAGTTATCAAAAGAAAAGATGTTGAGCTTTTGGAAAGATTATTTCCAACAGCTTTTCAATTAAGAAGGAAGAATACATGGACCGCACTGAGAACTTCGACCCATAAGATGTTGAAAAACTAGATATGGTATATTTGGAAATAACTACCATCAGAGCTGTTGGTTTGAAGGCTTAAGAGCCAAAATATTACAACTAAATCAGAAAGGTTGGAAAGGAAACCAGAGTGCCTATCTTATCTACCATATTCTCAAGAAAGTTTGCATGTACACAAGCATAGAACTTCTTTCTGTTACCTAGAAGATTATAACCAATATCATGATAATATATTCGTATTATGAAAATATAATAAGCGCTCATCAGAACAGCTCTTCATCCTAAAACAAATAACTTGAAAAACGATGCTAAGTAGTTCAGGAAGAGCATGCCTCATATATCGATTTTAAAGCAGCCTGATTCCATGGACAGAAACTGTTTTATTTTGGAAGACAATAACCGAAATAAGAGTACCCAGAAAGATGGAGATTTTGACGAAGGTATACATACAAAGTATACAAGTATGTGAAACCTTTTAAGTTCAAACTGATTCACGGACAGGAGATGGACTCCCGTCGATGCTGTTCAACTTAGCATTAGAGAAGGTGGATAGGTGCATGTTAGAATGAATTATAAAATCCTAGAATATGCAGCTTAAGCAACTGATAGCTAGTTCACAGACTCGTTAAAACTTTGACAAGAAAAACAGAGCAACTCTGCCAACAAGTAAAGTAAAATATATGATAGTAAGCCGAAAATCATACCCCAAAAACAGAGTGTAGTACGGAAATGGTTCCCGACAGTAGACAAATTCAAATACCTTGCATCCAAAACAATCTCAAATTACGAGCATATAACAAATATGTAATTAACCATATATATTATAACATTATGTATGTATGTATGTGATAAGCTTACCTCCGTTGTGACTGACTATTGCTGCAGCTGTTAGAGTAACCAGAATCAGATACCTTCGTCTTCTGGGTCTCCGTCTCCTCCATATCTGATCTAAAACAGACAAAATACAAATAAATTTAACACAGAGTAATTAAACAATAATAAAAAAAATAAAGATCAGTAAGAGGAAAAATGTTATTTTTAAAAAACGAGTATATTCCAGAGATAACTCGCAATTAAGATAGATATCCTTTTCCCTAATGCATTTGACGCATCATAAGCGAAATCAACGAAACATGTTATTCATATATACAATAAAGTATTATAAAGATATTCTATTCTTCATACACAATCGGTGAAGCTGGATACTTGCAAAACGGTATTGTTTGTGATCGTTAGTAGTTCATTGTTTGGTGAATATATTATTATTAGTTTTCCATTATTGTTTTTATATTTTCTATTCATATTACAATGTTTACTTTCGCTTACCAGTGATACTATATAAAATATATAGTAAGGGAAAGTATTGTGGTCGTGTGAAATTTTAGTTACGAGGTTTCAGGTCTCTTGAATCCAAATACGAGTTTGTACAGGGATCGCAACAACGTGTTTGTGTGCATATGTTTTAGAGTTTAGCTCAAAATTTATACAATATGATGTTTCGTTATGGAGTATTTGGAGTAGCTATAAGCTTAGGGTGCTAAGGCATCTTTAAAATTGAAAGTCACACAACTTTATATAATGCATTTCACATTTATTTGAAATTATCTCGAAAATGACTCAAAGGATTTTGATTAAACTTGTTATATCGATGTACGATTAGTTAGTGTATAACATTAGATAGGGCCTATCCTTATTGAGGTGTGTGTGTATGTGGGTATTGAACAGTGTAGTGATACTAGACAGGTTTTTAAAAACGTTTAGACAGGTATGTATACACTTAATAGTATATGTATATACTATTTATATGTAAATGGACCGTAGAGGACTAAGATTTGTTTAAATCTTACACACACTTAAGAGTTTTTGGGATACCAAGGGAATTTTATGTCATACCCTTTTTTCATTTAAGTTTAAAAAAGTTGATAATTTATTCTTAAAATTCAAATGAAGTTATTCTTAAAATTCAATTTGAAGGCTGGATAAAAATAAAAACAAAGTGATAAAATCTTTGTATTAAAGAACCATACCAAACTAAACTGTCATTACAAATAGGTTTAAGTTATCTCTTGATGGTCAGTATTCGAAAGTTTAGTTCAAATATTATCAACTGTTTAAATTCAATTTCGAAAGAAGTAATATCGCAATAAAATAATTCATGTGATTTTTTAAGTAACAAAGTACTTACGATATCATCGCACATAGATGTCGAAAATTCGGTGGACCGAAGGATAAGAAAAGCATATAACCTTACATTTATTTTCGCCAAAGGCCCTCGAAAACAAGGGGAAGGGTAGGTGATGTCCTTGCAGAGGTTCGCAGGACACTGGAGGACAGGACAGAACCCGCTGGCATCATTAGCGAGGGGTGGGTGGCTCTATTTCTGGAACGGTTCGATTTGTCTCTTACAGTCTATTTTTGGTGGGTCATATCTCGGTGGCTTCGTCGGTAATGTCGTCATTGGTAGCCATTGGGACCTACATATAAAGAAAAATTTCATCCAATTAATCATATCTAAAATAAAAAAAAAAACTCTTGTCTATTCGACAATAGGAGAAAGGAAAGGAACTCAGACACAGATGTAAACAATTTGAAAATATGGATGATTTTCAAATTACTTGGCAATATCGAGTCCCGAGGACACTTTTGGCCAACCAGTTACCATTTCTACCAAATTATAGCAAAGGCTAATGGCTGATTCCCATCTGAAGAAGTTAATATTTATTTCTCGACGAATCCGAGGAATGAATCTTGACACTTTCACTCCGCTTATTACGGTATGGTAACTGCAGTGGTTCCCAAAATGGACTACAAGATCCATTTACTGGAGTATAACCCCTAACATTGCCAGTTTAGAGGAACCTCGTCTATTTGAGCCTAATGTTAAATCAAATATACATTTATACTTAAATTAAGAAAAATGTACACCTATTTTGTAAAATGTAATGCGGAAATATCTCTTCTGCACAAGATCAAGAGGGATCGCTTGTCGGATCTACTGGCAGATATACAAGAGATGATTAGTGAAGATCCCGGATGGAAGGGGATCCTCCAGGATTAGTGTTGCCCAAATGCGAGACCGAGACGAGTCTTGGTCTTGCAAACTCAGTCTTGGTCATGGTCTTGGTCTTGCGCAAGGGTCTCGCATCAGGCTTGTAGTTACTTATTAACTTGTTACTATAGAGATATTGCTAATTTTTTAGATAGTAGAAACCTAACTAAGCCCGAATGAAAAATTAGAGGAGTTAAATGAAAAAGTATATTGGTTATACCAATTATTAACATACAGTAACTAAGATTGTCGAGTATTAGTAACTATTTTGCATTAATTTTTAATTTAAGAAATGGATTTTTTTTACCAGCCCTGTTCTGGGTCTTGCAACTGTTAGGCGGCCTTGGTTTTGCAAAGTGCAAGACCAAGAGCGATTTTGGGCGACACTATCCAGGATGATACATTAGAAAAATGGAACTGGCGCACAGTCGGACGAGTAAGTGAAAACTCGCGACATCGGCTAAATTATTTTTTTTTTTTTATAACTCCAAAAACTAGATAAACTGCTGGTTCTCGGTACATTTTGGAATTCATGAGAATATTTTCAATTGAAAATCTAGAGCCATTTTGTGGAATTTCGCTCAATTTGTAAATTTTCTAAAATTGCTTAGTTTTAGCTGGTTTATCATATTTTTTTCTTGAATTTTTACCAACTTTTTACTGCCATTCTGCTTAAGTATAAAAATATATAATAATGTATAATGTACTTTACTTTGATTTCTTTATACAAAATTAGGTGTTTTTTAATCAATTTTTACAAAGATTGCGAATTTAAAAAAGCTCCGATATCCTACGGAGAATTCATATCTTTTTACTTTGTAGGAATCATTGTTAAAGAGAAATTCATATTAATTTGACATTCATGATCCGCATAAAGGTAGTTTAAAAATATTTAAAATTATATTGAAAGAAGTTCTACATATTATAAGTGATAAACAGCCAGGACGCAGTCATTTTTAAGGTTTTTATTCGTGCCGACGTTTTAAGCCAAGCATGCGGGTCATCAGGGTGTGTTTCGAACATTGACGGTATTAACAATGTGCAACACCTGCTAGAAATACGCCCTGATGATGACCCACATGCTTGGATTGAAACGTCGGCACCAATAGAAACCTTAAAAATGACTGCATTGTAGCTATTTATCACCTACATTGTATGTGAGAAAGTCCGAACAATGTCTAGATATGTATTGATATCTCCTATAACTGGTCATGTTCCCAAATTTAGTTTTAATAATTGTATTGAACATAAAGAAAATAAAGATTCTGTAGTTATTTGTTTCGAAAAATATCTTAAATCAAAATAATAAAATAAAAAAAAATTAAAATATATCTTCGTTTTCATTGTTTTAAAATTTCAATTTTGTCTCTTTTATTTTAACCGTATATAACCATCGTTTATTTTCGCCCCAATCTAGATGAATAAACAAATACAACACCGTTAAATGAACTGAAGTTCATTGGGTCAAAGGGTCAATGGGTATCCGTATAAGATGGCCTTACGGAAAAAAACAACTTTTATTTAGGTACTTGTTCCCCTAATGTTACTGTTTGTTAGTAATAAAATGTAATGCTTTTAATCTCTAACCCTTATTCTTTTTAAATATCATTATAATTTCATAAGGATAAATTGAACCAGAAAGTATTTGGTTGAACCTCTATGACTTGAACAGTTATTCTTAATATAATCCTTATAATTAATAAAAAAAAAACTTTTTTCATCAGAGAAGGTGAAGAAGTATCGATTGTGTATAAACTTTTATTGTAATAAAAATATAATAAAATGTTTATTATTCCATAAGAACTATTGTAAAATGGATATTTATAATTGAAGAACGATACATTTTTACACTAATTTCTTTTAGTTATTACATATAAATATATTATAATTATATTTTGTGTTTTATTGTTTTGAAAATTAAAAAAAAAAAAAAATGTATTGAAATGACGATTATATGTAGTAATGTAGACAGTAGTTATAAATAGGTGTCTATAATTATGTGTTTCAAGCGATCTTCGAATTATTATCGAAGTTAATTGTGAAGTTCACGTCGGAACCCGACATGAAATGACATTGCTCCTGCTGAACTACTGTTGCATGGAGGTAAACATTATGTGAGTAAAACGATCGTAATTCTTCTCCCTAAATTTCGTCACCATTTGTTGCATATTTTTAAAAAACTTTTTGTGGCTCTCTACTCCAGTTAATCTGGTTAGGAGGTGGCCATTAACTGTTTGGAATTATCGCAAAGTACATCTGATGCCAATTCAGAAGCATTTACTATCCAACGGAACCAACAGAAGAACAGGACAACGTTGGGCAAGAATGGATATCAAATCAATTAAACAGTATAACAAGTCGTGTAAGCCTGGGGATGGGGTAACAGTTAATCATTTTTCCTTTTCCTTTAACATACTTTCTTGAAGTGATCAAATCAACAAATTAAAATTCACGATAGATAGTTCATCGAACATACGCCATAATTTCGTAGTATTTCTTCCTTAATCTACGGGGAGGGGAGGGACTTTCGGGCTGAAGTCCCCCACCAAAAATGAAAAAATATAACCATGTTTTATGGAAAAAAATATAAGTGTAATTACATTTAAAAGGACATAAGGAATCACTTAAACACCATTTCATATAGATAGTTAGTTCCTTTCTTTTTTTCCAAAGTAATTATCGTCAATTTTATGAAGAAAAAAAAAACATTCGTGCTGAAGCCCCCCAAAATTAAATCCTAGATCAGCTAGTGCGTGGAGGTGAACTTGGATATCTTTCTCGGAAATAATAGAAGACATCTGAAGGACGAGTAAAAAGTTCTATTACACTTCAGTCAGTGTTATTGATTGACCAAATAATTATGAAAGAATTGAATAATTGAAACGAGGAAGTGAAAAAA